AATAGTCCAGGCCAATGCTAGGTTGCCCACCTTAGCTCTGACCGTACCATAAAAGAGAGAGCTTAATAAAAAATAATCGTGGCTCACTAACTAACATTCTTAATACTACATTTTCAGTCGCACGCTAAAAATGAAGGATATGACGCTTTCAAAGAATGTGTCAAACAAGAGCTGAAGTCAAGTTCCTAAACTGTGAATTGAGCCTTTCCAAAGCTCTCAAGAGAAGAAATGTAGCTGTTTTTTTTTTCTCCTTTCCTTTTTTTTTATTGTAATGGTATATACCTTTCTTTCAGGTCAACGAATTTAAAGAATTTATGTTTATCCTGATAGATAAATAATCACTAGTCAGATATTAAATTGATATGTTTTTTTCTTCTCATGTTTTGCTCAGAATGTCCTAAATTAATTGAAGCTTTACTTCCACTGCACATTTTATGTGAATGTTATGTAATTTCTCTCTTCCTTAACAACAGTATTTACTTATTTTTCAGCAGACAAGAGAAAACATTGAATTGTGTGGCAGCTAAAAGTTCAGTCGTTCTCTTTATTTCGTAGTTTCTCAAATTGTACATAACTCCTTTATTTTAATTGATGCCACAAATCTGTGATACCTTAAGTTTTACTGTTCTCAGAGCCATTCAGTATGCACAAGTTTCAGTTTATATCTGCCTTTTACTGGTGCTCTAATTTTCTTCATACTGCATGTGTTTGGGTACTTAAAGGAAAGGCATCATCCCTTAAACTCTTTCTTAATGTATTTTAATCAAGTATTTTTTTATAGGCTCTAAGTTGCTCTATGTTTTGTTTTGCTTCAAGACTTAATAGTTTTACTATTTTACTACTACCTACAAGACTTCCTTGCTCTAGTCTTATGTGTAACTTGTTTTGTTTTTTGAAGATTTTGTTTATTAGCAAAGAAAGTGATTATGAAGAAGTTTGGAAATCTTTGTGATATAATCAGAAAAACCAGACACCATATTCGTATGTTGTAGAGTGCCATAAATGTTACTGTTTTTGACAACATATGCTTTCACTTTCCTCATCCACTGTTCGAAGTTCTTGTTGGAGTAGCTCTAAAGATAAATGATCAACACAAATGCCTACTTTTAGATTTTATTTAATACTGTCCCCAATATTCTGATAGATTTTTGACATTAAATCAGACATCCCACTGGTTCAGCTTATGCAAAGAGGAATTAATTTGATACACATATTTATTAACTCCTGAGAACCATATCCATGCCATTAGAAACAAATTTAGTAAAAGAACAAAATGTCACTGATCATGAAAAAAAATAAAATATGTACAGTAGTTATGGTCAATGAGAACATTTTGAGTAACATGCTTCAAATATAATGCAATTTTGTTTGAGATCATTCACGGGCACAACAATGAACGGATTAAACACTACTCAGCATGCAGGAAGAGACCTGAAACATAGAAGTTCAACAAATAAATAACTGGTTGTTCTGTTCCTCAACAAAAAGAGCCTTTCTTAAATCTGTAAACATAATTATTGTTTAATACTCACACATGAAAGTTTGCTGTTGGCTCGGCTAATTTATGGCGAACAAGAAAACTAGCAACAACTTCCGCAACCCTTTCAGGAACGTCTTCATGTACAGCATGTCCACACTGGGGTAAAACTTGCATTTGAAATTTACCTGTCAGACATGAAAATGTAATTAGAGACATAAAAGAATACAAAATAAAAATGACCAAAACAACAGGCCTTTCAAGCGATTACTTGCCCTGCATTTGTCCCACAGTAAGTTCACGGTCCAAACGATCTATGCCGGCTAACAACAACATTTTGGGGCAAAGTACATCCAGGAATCTAGAGGAAAGACCTTGGAACCAACCTGCCCAATGTTTTTCAGTTCCAGCTAGATCAATTCGCCAAGTGTATTGACTATTATTTTCTTCCTGTATTGATGCGGATGGAAATACTACATTAAATAAAGAGAGCCTACTTGGGTACAAAAATAAACTTTCAGTTAACATTTGAGAACATACCAGTGCAGGCAGCGTAGAGGGAGATTTAAATTCTGAAGGACAAGACTCATCTTCTTCTGTAATGCTGTCATTTACCAGACCCCTTTCAAGTGCAGTGGGCAGCACCTGTGAACTAGTATCTTCCAGTTTGCTTTCCTCTGATATATCTGACGTAGCAAGCTCACCAGTCTTTGCACTAAGACACAAGACATGAGGAAACTGATAAATATCCAAATGCACTTACTTTGTTTTACAAATTAATTTAAATGAAAGAAAAAACTTACTTTTTCAGCTGGCCAGGCATTGACACTCTAGCAGAGTCAGAATTTCGAATCTGCCCAGTTCGTACACTAGGAGAAAACAGATGGAGAAATGTTTAAACCAAAATGGATGGCAGATCATAAACCTTACCGAAGTAAATCAACTTACCACCATTCTATTGCATGCTCTAAGGAGCGAAAATTGTTTGGTCTTCCTCGTAGAAAGCTTTGCATGCTTGTCAATGCATCCATAGCAGTGCCTTCAACAACGTCAATTACAGCTAAACCAGCAAGTCCAGGGATAAACTCTTCTGAAGCAGCTCTAACAGCCACAGCTCCTCCCATACTGTGACCCATAAGAACAACGTTTGGCATATCTGCACCTCCATACATAGCCTGAAGTACATCACCAACATCTCTGGAAGGAATAAAGACAGGTGAAAGCTTTCACTCCATTACAAATAATATAAAACATGCAACTCTGAAAGGAAATTGTTCTACCTTGCTAATGTGAAGGCAGACAAATCTTCATCATCATTTGTGCGAGAATTACCGTGACCTCTAATATCCATAGCTAACACCTGGCATTGTGCCATAGATGTCACGGAAGCCTAAAGAATGTAAGATTTGTATTGGTAGATTAAACAAAAGCTATTCCACAGATGCTTCACATCAACTTACGGCAAATAATGCCCAACTCAGAGCCGAAAATCCACCTCCATGAAGTAAAAATAAAATTGGACCTTCACACCCAAGTCTGTACACTCTAAATGAATTTCCATTCACAGAAACATCTTCATATGAATCAAAATATTTCTTATAAGAGACTGGAGTATAAGTTTTCTTGCGTCCATGCATCCTGGGGACAAGTAAGACAATAATGATATACAATAATCAAACAGCACATTTGGTGAAGAGGTGAATAATACATTTTGATGTTTCAACATTTCCTTGGCACATAATAAGCAAACACTGTTGATAACAGACTTTTAATCTCTTTTTTGAATCTGGTGAGGTGTTTAGAAGCTTGCTTACGATAGAGAATCGTAATAATTATATATTCAATAATACAATGACGAATTACCTAGAACCTGACACCATAGAAGCAGGTACTTTAGGGGGTAATCCCGACTTCAGAAGGGTTTTGTGAAGTGATGACATTTTGTACTTGTCATAAACTTAATATGGAAAAGTACTCTGTAGGTCTTAGATTCTTTTCAGAGAACACCTTTACAAAATAAGCATTAAATTAGACACTGCTAACATTCATCTGTGCTGTTGATACACACAATCACGATGTGTCAAGTCAAGCAAGACTGCGTATAAGGCAGCAGCGTCCCGTGCAGAGAGAGAGAGAAAGAGAACGATCGGGAAAGCTCAAGTAGAAGGGGAAAGAGAGAGACGAGGAGCAGCGAGGAGACAGAGAGGGAGAGAGAGCAAGAGAGAAAAAGAGAGAGAGTATCTGGCTATGAAAGTTCTTTCAGTTCGTAAGGCCAGCATTTCGCGTTTATGTGTGCTATGGTTTGCTAGCCTGAGTGAGTGGAGTGAGCGCGCGAAGCTGAGAAGACAACAATAACAATCAACTACTAAAGGCTTTACAGTTTTCTTTCTCTATTTATATTTCTACTGATTTACACCTGTGCTCAGAGTAATCAAAGATGAGTTTGTGGGTGGATAAATATCGACCAAAGTCTTTGTCTCTTCTTGACTATCATAAAGACCAGGCTAATCAGTTAAAGAATTTGGTAAGGTGTCTTTAGGTTATTTTGATTAATATTTGATGTTCCATGCTTTCTTACTAAGTGTTGGTTATACCTTTGCTTTTAGATTCCGTTTCAAGTTTTTTTCTAAATGCCTATTGATAACTTTCCACTGAAAACTCGATCGTTATTGTTTGACTTGTCAAAACCTCCATTCATTTCCAGGTGAAACAAGGAGACTTTCCTCATTTGCTTGTCTATGGCCCTTCCGGGGCAGGAAAAAAGACTCGTGTGACATGCCTCTTGAGAGAGCTTTATGGACCAGGTGTGGAAAAACTCCGCATGGAAAGTGTACCCATCACGGTAAGTTTATGTCAACCCTCAGGAGCTTCTGAAGATACAATGTGATCTTCAGCATGAGACTGTCTTCAGATCGAAACTCTCTTTCATAATTAATCAAAATTATGTTTCAGACTCCATCTGGTAAAAAACTTGATATAAAGACAATCAGTAGCAACTACCACATTGAAGTTAATCCAAGTGATGCTGGAATCTATGACAGATGTGTAGTTATGGAGTTGGTCAAAAATTCGGCTCAAACCCATCAACTTGACCCAACTGGTCAACGTGATTTTAAAGGTACCTTTCTTAATATTATGAATCAATATTATGAATTCACAACTTTCAGATCTTATGTTCAAGGTTTTTTTTTGCAGTTGTTGTACTTACCGAAGTAGACTCCCTGTCAGTTGATGCACAACATGCTTTAAGACGTACAATGGAGAAGTATGTCTCCACCTGTCGGTTGATTCTCATTTCAAATTCAACTTCTCGTGTTATTCCTGCTATCAGAAGCCGTTGCTTGGGTGTTAGAGTTGCAGCACCCACCCAAGACCAGATCATCTCAATATTACAGGTCTGTTGTAGCCTGTTCAAACAAATTGAAACTTGCTCAACTCATATCTAATTCTTATCCCTCTCAATCAGATGGCATGCAAAAAGGAGGGCCTTTCTCTTCCTTTAGATCTTGCGAAGAAAATTGTAGACAAATCTGAGCGCAATCTACGACTAGCCCTTTTAATGTGCGAGTCTTGCAAAGTTCAAGAGACCCCATTAAAAGAAAAACAAGAGCCAATTTTGCCACAGTGGCAAGTTTTTCTTAAAGATACAGCTAGAAGCATCATGCATGAGCAGAGTCCCAAGCAATTGATGGAAGTTCGAGGTCGACTCTACGAACTTTTAAGTCACAATATTCCCATCCAAATAATATTTAAGGTTGGATAGTATTTAAAATGGGAATCTAAACATTACATACTTTTGCAAGCTTATTAAATTGTGTGTCATTTTCTTATTTCAGGGTTTACTTAAAGAATTGGTAAGCAATTGCGATATGAAATTAAAGGCTGTTGTTGTAGAGGAGGCAGCATTTTTTGAACACCGTGTTCATCAGGGTAGCAAAGGAATTTTTCACTTAGAGGCCTTTGTTGCTAAATTTATGTGCATATACAAGAAGTTTATGGAGGATTCTGTCATTGACATGTTTTAAATCTTTTTGTTCAGTATGTTTTGAGTGGGCTATGGCAGTTAAGCTGAATATGTCACATGAAATGATTGTTAATAAATACAACTTTTTTTAAAATCTGATTATGTTCTGTTTTTATTTTTTGTAATATAAATTGTAAGTTAAATAATTGATCACTTTGACAATATACCCATTTTTCATCTTTTTCATACAACCAATTCGCTGAATAGGCAGACAAATTTTTCATCACACACGAAAGTGAGTTGAGGTTAGGTGTGGGTGTGGTTGTTGACTTCACAATTTTCTCTTCTGCTGTGTTTAAGATGTATGCTAAGCAAGTTTTCATATGAGCTGAACCTTCTATCGAGTCTGTCATGTACTAAATAAGTCCTTATTATAAGTTGTGGATTTTTACCAATACCAGAGATTTGAAAACATAATTAAAAATGGCATTTTACGTGAGCCGTTTATCCCTTGGACTAGAACTGCGACGGTTAGGATGTAAGACCATGAGGTGTTCAGGTAGGTTTGAAAACTTGTTTTGATTACTGAATACCTTACTGTGCTTAAGGTTTTTTTGTTCGTTTAGTTCCAATTCAACATTTTCCAGTTTTGTTTTGTAGTCTAATAAACTATCTCCATTTGTCATAATAAATCCAAGTCTACTTAATCCTTAGGTGTTGACTGTCGAAGCTCCTCATCAACTTCTACAACTTTAGCCCCTCGATCACTTGCAGATGATGGTAAGACAGACAAGCTGGGTAGAAGAGAGAAAAAAAATTTGATGATGTCAGAGTCTGTAGATAAACCTGACTTGAATCTAAGGTAAAGTTCACAAGGACTCTTCTTATGTCTATTTCCCACATTATTGGACTGGAAGTTTTTATTTACTGTTGGGCTTTTATTATCTGTGAAACATACAGGTTCAAATATCCAGAGATGTTTCCTGAACCATTTATGATTTGGCGTAATCCTGTGAAAGAGAAGTTAGAGAGGAAAGACATGTTGGCAAGGCGAAACTGCATTTCTATTCCTGAATTCTATGTTGGTATGATGCCCTCTTATACGCGTGCAGTTTTCTTGTTTGTTTTATTTTAGTTTTTTCATTTTAAAATTGAAAGAACACTCAGACTCTTTAGTACTTGAGACACTGTCAGATCTGTAAATTGTCTTTCAGGCTCTGTTCTACGTGTAAACCTTTCCAACATTCATCAACCTGACAAGGTATCAAGTTTTGTTGGGATATGCATAGAGAGGAAGGAAACTGGGTTAAGGGCATCCATCACTCTTCGGAATGTCATTGACAACCTTGGTAAAGTTCCCCTTTTCAAGAAAAAATATCCCGCTTTTAAAAAAGAAAAACTAGTAATTTATCTATCCTTTCAATTTAGGTGTTGAAATCAAGTTGGAGCTGTATGATCCAAGGCTGCTTAAAATAGAAGTGCTGCGTCTTGAAAGAAGATTGGATCCTCATTTGCGATATTTAAGAGATGCACCACCAGAATATAGTACTTTCCCCTTGGATATGAAGCCTGACATAAATAGAAGTGATGAAGTTCCCTTGAATAGAATTAAGGTTTGTTTTGAGGTTTATCATTTGAAAGCTGTTAAAATTAAGTGTAGACTTAATGCAGTTCTCCTATTCAATAGGTTAAGCTAAATCCACGTCCATGGACTGAAAATTGGCACAAAATTGAATACAAAGGTATTGACGAAAGTATTGATGATCTAATTACAAACAAATGGAAAGCTAGGCGAGAACTTTTGCGCAAACCATGGGAGAAATATGACTTGATGAAAACCTACCGGTAAGTTTCATCTGAATCTAATATGTCAACCTTGATGTTAGCTAGCTCAATACCCACACAATTTAGAGTTACATTTGTGTATATATTTGTTGCAGGGCAACTTTACCCGAAGAAGAAATGGAAGAAATCTTGACTGAAATTAAAGATGATGTTGAAGAACATGACAGGAAGCATAGCAGGCGACAGAGTTAATCAATTGAGTCTTATAAATTTTTGTACCGACTCTGTCAATATCATAAAATGAGTTTCTAAGTGTTTTCTCCTAATGATAATAAAAGTGTTAAGTATAGGTTCCTCAAATTGTTTTATTGAACAGCCATTTACCACGTCTGAAATTGAAAATTAAGGTGGCAACTCATGTAGTGCAGAGAAGACAGTATTACATTATGCTAACACTACATTAAACCAGCAATATTTTCTCACCAAACAAGATTTACAGTATATAGAACAGAACCAAGAGAAAAACATCAGCAAGGATGAAGTAACAATTAAGTATTTCTAGATATTCTTAAGAGTGTCTACAATACCATAAAAACATTTAAAATTACTATGAAAAATCACAGAATAACACTCACTTACACAGCCCTAATTCTAGCTTGACAGATTGGAATTGAAATAATGTATGGCAAAATACCTCAGTGGTGCATGATTTAGGTTTTGGTTTAAGGTGCTACACAACCAATGATTACATTCTAAGTCAGACGACAGCCACTTGCTTGTGTGACTGAGTTCATACCATATGTTTGACTAATTGTGACAAATTGCAACCCCAATTTTTTTCTAATCTAATGAATAAATGATACTAGGGTATTGTATCTTTATTGAGAATAATTGTGATGGTAGAATGATGCAGTAACAAATTTCACTTTCATTGATATTAATACGTAGTTATTACAAATATAACTTATGTCAGATTTGGTATAAAAAGAATGACAAGTAATGTTCCCATTCATGCATAACTAACTCTTCTTTTAAACAGCCTAAAGCATCACAATCTCTTTCACCAATCTGATTCTATTTAACATTTTATGAAGCTGTTCTTGACCAAGAGCCATTGTGGAATACCATACTGGACTATCAGGCACACAAGATCTTTCAGGAAGGAGATAAAACACATCATTGCGTGTTTTAACACTCTCAGGGCTGTAAAGAAAGAAAAGAATTACTTTGAAAAATATTTCACAACAAGAATATTAACAGTTCATAGACTGTTTGGAAATAAGTTGTAGCATACCATTTCGACAAGTAAAATTCATATAGTTTCACTGGGCATCTTAATGGGTTCTCCTCGTCTTCTTGCTGCTCATAAACCTTCTTCTTTTTGGAATTAGCAGCTGTGGAAGAAAAGAGAAGAAAACTGCTATTGCAACATAAGCTCAAAAGAATAGAAGTAGACCACCAGTCTTTCTTACCTAATGCAGATTGTGGAGGATAGAACCTCAGGACAACATGTCTTAGACTACCGGGTTTATGAGGACCAACAACATTAGGTGGACGCTTCCAATGCTTCATAATATGAGAAAATGAAAGTTGCATGTGTTCCTCAACACTCTTTACATAAAAATATAAAAAAAGAAGAGGGGGGGAAAACAGGTTTTAAAAAATGCTTCTTAGAAAAAACTAGAGCCGTGAACTGATACAGTACTTAAAAACTCACATAGTAGCAAATGTTTGAAATCAAGACTTACCATTAGATTAAAATGTTTTGTGTTAAAATACATCAAAGTGCTAAGTAAAACATATGGCGAATGAGCACCGAGCTGTTTACTTTCCCACAGATGCTCTTCTTTAATTCGAGTCACTAAAATGTCTACAAAAACAAAAAAGAATATATTTCAAATGAAAATGAAAAAGATAAAATAGTTAGTGTTGTGTAATTGAGAAACTTACTAGTGTCAATATTAAAATCTGCAAATTTTTTAACAACATCATCAAGACAAGTGGTAAACTTTTCATAATAAGGGTCACTAAAAATGTTTTCTATTCGTCCATTTTCTACTAAGTACTGTTGAATACCAAGGCACAGATAGTATAAAGTATCAGGAGTATACTCTTGTCCATTAGGATTGAGCGCCTGTATTGAAAGGAAATAAGATTATTGAAATGTATGGATTCACACCAAAAATATTTAATGATCAACTTTTGGGCAGAACAACAAACCTCTTTAACAAAAAGACAAAGTGAGTAATTAAGCTCATCTGCTGTGAGTTGAAGTATATCTTCTTTAAGGAGTTTAACATTTTTTGAAGCACCTCCTGTTTTCACTAGTTCTTCATTTTTGTGTGTGACCCAACTTTTCCAAGCATTAGCACCTAATGTGAACTGAAAAGTGAACATGAACACAAAAATTTATAACAAACACCCTGATCCTCTAAATAATTGTAGTTATTGCAAAATTGTTGCTGCAAAGTTAATGATAATCAAATACTTCATTACCTTTAAGCACATGTGTGCATCTGGCTTCTCCACAGGCTCCGTTTTGGGAACAATGAGATCAATATTTGGTTCTGTTTTAATTGGAGTAGTTGCAGGATCAGAGACACTAGATTTTCTTGAACGTTTGGATTTCACACTTTGGAGGTTATCAGAGCTTTGCCGCAATGATCTTTTCCGTGAGGATTTTGTTTTCCGCTCTATGTCCTCTTCATCATCTCTTTCAGAATCTGCAATGTTACTATGTTAAAAGACAGCACCTTCATGTAGAGGCCGATTGAGTTTTGAGTCTCTAGCAACTACCTTTTTTGTCTTCATTTGCTGGCTTTGAAGGAGTTTGTGAAACAGAATCTGAAGCCCTAGATGTTTCAAAGTCAACAGCAGGTTCGTCATACTCAGAAACCATTTTTAAAGCCATTTGTAGTACCTCATTCCCAAATGTATTATTAGTCCCATTTTCTGGGCTAAAATCAGCTTCGGCTGCAGTTCCTATATTAAGTTAGAAAAATTAGCAGTTACATAAAAGTTAAGTGGGATGGTTCAGTAGAAATGATATTGAGGAAATCCAAGGCCCAACCTGAATCAGTTGCTTCAACATCAGGTGCTTTATTTTCACCATCATCACTCTCCGAGTCAGTGGTTTCAACCTTTTTGTCATTAGCTACCATCTCAGCCATCATCAGCAGCTCAGCTTCATATGGGTCTGAGGGGATTTTTTCTTGAATTCGCTTTAACAATAAAAGTAACAAGATCAAATTCCAGCCTTATAATGGGTTGTGCCACAGGTTTGTGAAAAGTATGTGCCTAGCTCTAAAAATTTGACTTATACTATCACCTTACTTTTATTTCTTTCAAGATTCCTTTAGAAGAATTCCTTGTTGTTGGAATAAAAATTGGAACTGGAATTGGCAATGCTATGGGGACTGGAATAGGATATGGAGAAGTGTACATCTGCATTGGAGCAGGAATAAAAATAGGAATGGGTACAGGGATGAACAAAGGCTTAGACATGGAGTCATCTGGGAAATTAAAGTTGTATAAGTAAACATTGAAAGGGTGTGAATTTGACAGTAATAGAAGTATATAGATCACATTACTTACCTGTCTGGGTTCCTACAGTACAGGTATCTGGTTGACAAGACACCTCTTTTGAAGCAGTCTTAGGTTTAACTTGAACAGCACAGTTAGTCATCTCAGGGTGGACTGGAGGTCTAACAATGTAGTGCTGCTTGTACACTGTTTTGACAATTGTTTCAGTAGCAGTGTTCTTTTAACAAAAAAATGAAAACAGGCAATTAATGCAAAATAAAATGTTAAACTTCAACAAAATCCAAACCAAATTACCTTGACAGTACTACTGCTGGATGATGAAGCTGAAAGCGGTGGAACTGATCCAGAGGCTGGAGCCAATGATGTGACTGATGAGATTACTGGCATAGAACCTAAGATATTTGAACCTAGAATGCGAAGATCAAAACAATGAGATTACATTAGACCAGATTTTATAAAATAAGATGATGGTTGAATGTAAATATTGATTGCTGCCGTTTTGCTTTAAATTATGTATACTAGTTAGCATGCCAAAAAACAGCCTTTCCACAGTTAATATAATGAAAGCATCGGATTACCATGGTCCTTATCATCAACATTGGCACTAATTTTTTTGGAGAATATTTTCCGTGGAGCACCTGTAAAACATTATTCACGAATATTGGTAATAGTTTCAAGTCCATCATGACTACTTTTGCACTTTGTAATTCATCTTCCCTATTAACTTCACAGTTTATGAAACTTACCAAGAGGATATGGAGTTTTCTCTGCCTTATTTTGGTATTTCCCTTGAAAACTAACAACACAATTTGAGGAACAAAAACTTCGAACAGAAGCATCTGACATGGTTAGGTGAAACTGTGCTGGTGATGAAGAACTACAAAATTCACACCCAGTCCTGCGTAGCACAAAAGAAAAAGAATTGATACCGGTACTATCATACTTAAACAAATAGTTTCCAAAAATATTGTAATTACTTCTTCGGAACAGAGTGTATCATCATGGAAGATGATAACCCATACAAATTTAAGCAATACAGAGAACACATCATCAAAACCACTTGACCGTTCAATGTTGTCTTTTTGATCATGTCAAAATTATATTTCTTAACCTGGAAATTGATCCACATCATTAGAGTAATTTAATTTTCAAATTTTAACTGTAACACCATTCAATGAATATAAATTTTAAAGTGAGTTACAATATGATAGACCTACCTTGCAATGAGAACAAGGAACAATTTTTCGCTTTGCTAGAATGTATACATTCATACATGTTTTACAACAAAAACTATGAGGCGCCTCATCATAGTACACAGTAAAATTCTCAGAACGATTATGGTCATAATACTTCTTACACATGTCACACTGATCTACAAAGGAAAATATGAATATAGTTAAGCAAATAGTATTGTAGTATTTTCATTTTTAAATACCTGTATACAGTCAACTAGACATCAACTTACCTGCAACTATACCATTGGCAAATTTAAAAGCTGCAAAGCAAGGTTCACTACAAAGTTTTTGAACCTTAGAATCAATTAATACTTCAACCTTCACAGGTTTACTGTTATTGCAGACAGCACATTCGTAAGTAATTTCAGGTGCTACAGTGTTGTGACTCATTTGGTCATATTTTTCCATACACTCTTGTGAGCAGAAGTCCTTTAAATTGAAAACACAGTAATGCAATTGGTGGAATACAGTAACATTGAAGGATTGGCAGCAGCAAACTAAGTTAGATGTTCATAGGCATACCTTAAATTGACCCTTGTCTCCAACAGGTGCTAGAAACCCTTCAGTATCAGCTGAAATATCTTTTTGGCAATATGAGCAAACTTTCAGGCCTTTCTTAAATTCCTCCAAGCAACGGGCATCACAGAATTGCTTCATATCATAACCAAACCTCACACAATACTTTCCAAGACTTGCTGATTGGACAGGTTTTTTGCAGTTCGCACAGTGAGATCCAAAACTCTTTTGATATTTTTCTTAAAAAAATAACATTTAAAAAATCATTAATGATTAATCAACAAGATTGAGCTAATTGGTTAAATATCTTTTCATTATATCTGATGTAATACCTAAGCAATCCTCTGAGCAAAAATCCATAGTTTCCCATGTTAAAGTCTTTTCCAACTTCATATCAACTTTCTTCAAACATTGGCCACACTTATGTACGTACGTTCGGTCTAATTTACGTGGGCGAATTGTGGCTTTAGGGGGTTGAGGTACAGGTGGAGGATCATTTGCTTTCCTATACGATGTATAGCACGCATCTTCACAGAGGTGAATTTTTTTAAGTTGAAGGTGATATTTACATTTTTTTAACTGTCAGATAAAGGGAGAAAATGTGAGAAAACTTCTAATTTTAGTAAACCAATTACAAAATAAAACAGTACACACCTTTCCGCAAACAGCACATGTGTGTTCTCCACCCTCTTCAGTTTGCATGTCATCTGGTGCAGTAGAACATAGAAGTGCATCAGTCTGATCCTGCTGCTCCTGATAAATTAAAACCATCAAGAATTAGGAAATCAGTAGGTGCAACAATATTTGACTGATAACTAAAACCTTTCAAACCTTTTCTGCAAGTGCCTGTCTTGAAACAAGAGAAGATGTTGATACAAGTTGAATTCCAAACTTTCGTGCTTTAGGAACCGAGCCAATTCCTGAATCAGTTTCTTCCTCTATTTTATCTTCTGTTTCATTACACTTTTCATTCGACCTTGGTACATCCGAAGCCAGTGTTGAGGAACATTTGTCCTTTTCATTAATCTCAGCTACTTCTTCAGCTAATCCTGAAGATTTGTTTGCCTTTTCAAATGCATTTGCCTTCTCCTGCTCAGTAGGAACACGGGGCTCAGTGTCAGGGACAATACATAATTCTTCTTCACCATCAGCTGTAGTTGATTTGTTTCCAGTTTCTGTCACTCTAGGCTCTGGCAACTTATTTTCAGTAGATTTATGATCAATGTCTGAACTTTTCATCGACATAGATGAGCTACTTTCAACCACCGTTTTGAGATCCCCCGTTGCAGGAGTACCAGTAGATTTGTTCACATCAGCATTTAATGCAATATCTGAGTTGTCTTTGCACACAGATTCAACTACAGTCAATTCCAAGTCTTTAGTTATTGGAAAGAGTTCATTTTCTGTTTTTTTTGAGGGCGCATCAACAGATAACACCCGAATCTCATCTTCCTCTTCCATTGAAATATTACTTATTTCCTTAGGGCCATCAGAATTATTTTTTTCCACATGCTCTTCATCATTTGAATGAATTACTGATGTATCCTCATTTGTTGATATAGTTTTGTCCTTGAGCTCGATCCTTGAGCTTCCTTCAGTGGTCACCAGAGTTTCCTCATTCTCAGAAGCAGGTTGCTCTAAAATGGAATTGACAGCAGCATTTGTTTCAGAATCAGAAACCAATTCTTTACTGCATTTAGTATTTAAGGACACAGTCTGTACTATTTGTAGAGTAGGTTCAGTCTCTTTATCAGTCTTTGAAATGTCCCCAGAATAGTGTGACTTAGAAGTTTTGTGGCTTGCTGATTCCTCATCTTGAGGGGGCAAAATGGCAATATTATCATCTTTCTTTGAATCATTATCTAGAACAGTCTTCGGTACTTCTAGATTTTGCTCAATCGCAACTGGCTTCAAACTATTTCCTTCCAATAAATTGACAACTACATTATTGGAAGAGTGACGACTGGAAATTGAGAGTTCTTCATTTGTAGATTGCAATAAATTGGAGGTTTTCTGTTGTGATTCATCAGGATCTTGCTTGGAAACAAAATCCTCTCCTAGAGGCGACGCTTGATCTGACTCAGAGTTTTTTTGTTCTGATGGACCAAGCTTGGAATCCAGAGTCTGTTTCTCAGGTTCATCATGTTTTAAATCTGGTGTGCTACAATCTGCAGTAGTTTCTTTGTTTACTGCACAATCCATTGCAAAAGTTAAATGGGAATGCGGATAGTAAACTCAAAATAAAGTCACGTCATATTCTGACCCTCGATGATAGGTGAAAACCTGAAAGAATAAGAGTACCAATTACAAGAGGAACTAAGCTAAATTTCAATGTACCTTGTGTGTTGAAATTTTTGGAAGAGTGTGAACTTTAAAAGAGACTCAACAAATGAGGTGGGGGAGAGTGAGAGAGAACTTTACTTCAGTATAATGAGTGGGGTACTTTAAATATGCCATGGCAAGTCGTCTTGGACAACCTGGCATGTACATCACAACTTATGAAACAATTTCTGAAAAAAAAAAACAATTGTGTACAGCTCATAGTTAACAAAAACTCTAGGATGTTAAACTCCCAAGTAAACAGATTTCTAACCTCCAAGCACGGAGCAGAAACCACAGATTGCAGTGTCCTTGTTAGATCTAGTTTAAGTTTGGCTGATGGCAACAATACTTTCCAAAACATAGAAAGGGTTAATCCCCAACTTTACAGTTGCAGACTAGCCCTGATATTAAGATTTATCTTTGAATTTTATGGTCAAATAGAAGTAAAAGCCGAACCCGGTGGTTTTGAGCGATTAGTGCATAATGCGGACATAATGAATAAAAAATTCCAGGACACTGAGAAAAAAAATCAATGAAGTGGAAAAGCAATACTTTTCAAAAAACATTTACATGATTGAAAACAATGTCAAAGGCGAAATAGCGGTCGAAAATTCAAGGAACCCATCTTGAACACTTTGAATATAACATGGCGGAACGACTAAAGTGTGTACTTTTCTAAATTACTGTTAACCACAGACCTATTATGAAATACACAGTTCGAAACAAACATTCAGTGGCAGAGACAGAAATTGACAACACGAAGAAAATAATGTCTGATTTACCAAATTCATAACAGATTTCATAAAGTTTCCAATACAGAGCCTGGCGGCAGGCACGACAACGGTGGATATAGTAAACAACTTTCGTACTTAAAACAAGGAAAAGAAAACTCTATGCCTGCATTTAAGAATTCATGGATCTACTATTTTAACGATTCTGTATGAAATATAATTCCAAGAAATGGTCGAAGAAGTAATCAGCTTTTTGTTAAAATACATATTTATGGCTACTTTTCATGTCTTATGTTGGTGTTAGAACCGCGTAGTCTTGGTGCAGAGATATCTAGGCAAACTAACGAGAAATGGAGCTGAAACAGTTTTTTTTTTAATTTCTGCCTATCATAAAACCATTGTTGGTCCTATGAGTATCTTAAACATGGCAATCAAATAAGTAAACGATAGAAACCTTTGATTTTAGTACACTTATTTCAAAACATTTGAGTTCCACCTCTCAAGCGTAACACTATCTCGACCACATGGCTTAAGAAGAAAGAAAAGGAGAACAAATTTCGGAGCGTCTGCTAGAGACACCTACTGGCTGAAACCAAAACAAAACATTTGGGTTTGATGTTTATGGTTTCGATCGCGAAAATTTAGTGATCGCTCTGCTCCTGTGGTCTCAAAGTTAGCGTGCGCCTGTCTTCATTGTATCTTTCGTGAATGTTTCCCGTTCTGGTCTTTAGGCGTTGACATTCGTGTGGAGGGACTGTGGTCGTGACGCAGTAGAAAACATTTGGACAGTTCTGGCATGAAGTGGAAAGATACGTGAGAGAACTGAGGTGGTGACACTTGGCCACTGGAAGTGCGCTGTCAGCAGTTGTGCTGGCCGATATTTCTCTGCATTGAACATAGTGTCGTGTGAAGTGATTCAAAATGTTTACGGGCCTGACAAATCAAGTCAGCGGATGGATGGGGAATGTGGTCAAGAAGGGAGAGGGGGAAGCTGTGAAGCCTGAAGACAAAGCTGCAGAACCTGGGGATGAACAACCCTCTTCTCCTCAGGATAACAGTGAAGCAAAAAAAGATGCAAGGTATGTTGGTCGTGTGTTGCCATGTCTTCACATAAATTGACACTTATGGTCTTTGCTCTCATTCATAATTTGTATGAACTTGACGATTCAGTAGCACACCTGGACTGAAGAGGTTATGTCCCCAAAAGATTACCTTCCTATTTAGAAGGCATGCCTACTTCCTTGAAAACTTAAAACCTGTAATTTACCAGCAGGCAGAAATTTGTTATGGTTCTGTAAATTTTTAGTTGCTGGTGTAGAACTACCATAAATTGAATCGAGCAGTCTTTTTCTCTCGGACATTAAATACTTTCTCACAGAGGAGACAAGGGAAGTTCTACGCCTTTTTCTTAATCAGTCTTTTTGTTTAGCATTTTATTGAATGTGCTGTGATCATAAGACTACTAAAAAATTATTGAAAGTAATGCTGACTACAGGAAAACATTTGCAATACATCTTTATTATTATTGCAACCATAAACAACTTTGTAGCAGTCACTGTCACTTTCATTTCAATCTTCTTGACCAACGCAGTCATTGCAGTTATGACACTCCCCCTCCTCCCTCCCCCCTTCTCCC